TACACGCCAATGAACTTTAATGGCATCCCAGTCTTAGTCCGCAGGGTTCAATATTGAGTCTAATTCATCCCAAAGGTACCAAAGGTGTTCTATCGGGTTGAGGTCAGGACTCTGTGCAAGCCAGTCAAGTTGCTCCACCTCAAACTCGCTCATCCATGTCTTTATGGACCTTGCTTTGTGCACTGGTGCGCAGTCATGTTGGAACAGGAAGGGGCCATCCCCAAACTGTTCCTACAAAATCAGGAGCATGAGATTGTCCAAAATGTCTTGGTATGCTGATGCCTTAAGAGTTCCTTTCACTGGAACTAAGGGGCCAAGCCCAACCCCTGAAAACCCAGAAACCCAGACACAGAGAAGCATGATTCGTCACTCCAGAGAACACATCTCCACTTCTCTAGAGTCCAATGGCGGCGTGCTTTACACCACTGCATCCAACGCTCTGCATTGCACTTGGTGATTTAAGGATTGGATGCAGCTGCTTGGCCATGGAAACCCATTCCATGAAGCTCTCTACACACTGTTGTTGTGCCAATCTGAAGGCCCCACAAAGTTTGGAGGTCTGTAGCTATTGACCCTGCAGACAGATGGCGACTTCTGCGCACTGTGCGCTTCAGCATGCGCTGACCCTGCTCTGTCATATTACATGGCCTACCACTTCGTGGCTGAGTTGCTGTTGTTCCCAGTCGCTTCCACATTGTTATAATATCACTAACAGTTGACCGTGGAATATTTATTAGCAAGGAAATTTCACGGAACAACTGAATCTAATGATTTGGAGAGGTGTCCCAATACTTTTGCCAATAAAGTGTGTATATATATATATATATAAAATCTTTTTTTAAACTATATCTTTTACATGTATTAAAATATGCTATATTCTACGCTGTGGAGGTTTACAAAGACATATTTAAACACACGGCATTATCTGATAAAACTGGAATTTGAGTATTGTTTCATACACAGGTTCTGCAGGTGCCTTAAAGATCCTGTAGTAAGCAAAACCAACAGCAACTTGTTACTTGGTTTATTTTGTAAACTAGATGAATATTTTTCCAGTTTTAAGGGTTGTCTATTCTGCTCTGTGTCTGCTGAAGTGAGAGCAGGTGCCGCAGCGGACAAAAGGTTCTGTATTCAGCAGTATTTGCTAGCTGCTAGCTGGTTCTAGCAAGCCTGTTAAAGGGATTCTCCTCAGATTTCATAGCCGGGACGCAGAGACTTGTCCTTTGTACAGAGCTCACGGATCTCAGATTCCTTGTACAATCAGGACGAAACAAGGAGGAGGCAGAGAACACAATGGGGGAAGGGGAACACCAACACTGCATTATTTCATTCGAAAAGAGTGTCCATATTACTGCCAGTTCATCTCCTGGATACAGCCAAGCAAACTCATTACTGTGAAATAACATACAGTTTGTACGGCAAAGGCAAGCTTCATCAATTATAGTGAAAGTTAATGTCAGGCCACTGAAATGTGATGGCGCTTTTAAACCCTGTCCAGTGACCCCAGCATTAACCTGCCTTATGTTATAATAAGGAGATTAGTGTACTCCCTAATGAGCAACTGAATGTGAAATATCCACAATCTATTATCAGATGTAGAGTAAAGGGGTTGTCACAGGCTGCCTTCATCAATTTACCCTGAGATTTTATCTATCAATGATTATCAATCCGAGATGGCAAGTTCGGATCTTGAAATGAATCGGTTCTTCTATTCACTTGCTGAGTCAGCTGAGAAGTGAGCCGAAGCACAGGAGCTGTCTGACCCTTCATAAGATCCAAATGAGAAGACTCTGATTCAGTGCCTTGGCTCAGAGCTGTCACAAGTTTGGTTTTATGTCAGACCAACCATTATATCAGATCAGCCAATGTTGTCACTTCTGGTGACGCGCGATCACCTGTGACAGTAAAAAGCGTGTTACTGCGCATGCGCACCACATTCTGATGAGCAGTCAGATTTGTCCATAGTGTTTACAGTGCATGGGTGGAAATAACTATACAATTTTAGTACCATGGGCACCTTACCTGTGGTAGTAAATCCAATCGTTATTGCGCTCTAAACACTAGGGACAAATCTGACCGCTAGCAATGTGACATCAGCTCATCAGAATGCGGTGCGCTTGCGCAGAAACACACTTTGTCACAGCTGATCGCGTGTCACTTCTGACATTGGCTGATCTGATAGAATGGCTGGTCTGACAGAAAACCAAACTTGTAACATCTCTAAGCCAAGGCACTGATCACAGGAAAATTCCCCAGGAGCTTCCCCCCTTCTCTGAATCGGAGTCTTCTGATTTGGATCTTTTATGAAGGGTCAGACAGCTCCTGAGCTTCGGTTTACTTGCTTGTCAGCCGACTCAGCAAGTAAACCGATGATTCGATTCATGAATCGGTTAATTTGAATGAACCGTTCAAAATGAACCGATTCATTTCAAAGATCCGAACTTCCCATCTCTAGTATCAATATAATGTAATGTCAGGAGTGAATATAGAGTACATAGGATTCCTGGGAGAAAACACCATTGTAACTGTTTTTATCAGCACAGCAATACAACTTTTTGGTTGAAGTGTATTAGAAAACAGACCATAGGGTCAATACAATGTAGTGTGATGCATCTGGTGTTTGCATTACCATGTATAATTTGATCATTATTAATCTGAACTCCAGCCTCACGTTCAGTCTTGCACAGTTGTACAGGCTCCTCTCCTGTACTGAAATGGTTAACTCTGATTTCATTGCACACTGTGAGCTGTTAAAGTAACATTTCATTAATTCCTATGCACCACAGAGGATGCACCGCATCCCACTGAAAGGCAGCATTGCAGTGTGAAAAGAGCACATAGAAGACAATTGCTTTCTATGGGCTCTTGTGGTAACGTGCATTGATCAAGTGCAGAAAAACAGCAGTCAATGCACATAGTCTGAATGGGCCATATAAGTCAATGCACAGAAATGATTACACAGACCAATGCTCTTGAAACTATTGTTATATTCGAACTGGCAGTAATTGCGAGTTTCAAAAAGGTGTCTATTGAGAACGGGGCCATCCCTATAATAAGGTAGCCTGCGGCTTTTGCCTCAGGTGGCATCTCGTGGGGGGGAGATGTATTAGTCAGAGTGGCGTGGCCGCTCTGCTGCATAATATTTTCAGTGTGCCTGCCACCCCCCTTCTGGCAAGAGCGTCCCGGGTTGCTAAGAGGCAGGCGGGGAAATGTGTGAGTGCCATACACATCTCTCTGCCCTCCTCTTAGCAATCTGGGACATTCTTGTCATAATCCCGCCGAGCTCCTGTGATGTCACTGGTTGCCAGGAGCTCAGCAGGACACTACGCCACTTATGCCCCCTGCCGCTTCAGGCTGCAAAAAAGCTAGGGATGCCCCTGATTGAGAAGAAAAAAAGCCATTTGGGTGATAAAAATGAAAACACTTCTTGCAATAAAATGCTAATTTATGAGAAATAACGGTTTTCAGTGGTTAAGGCCTAATTCTACAGTAAACCCACCCCCCAGCATTTTTAAAAAAATCTTTGCATACATCGTTTTTTTTGCATGGATTGGACTTTAAATAGCTATATTAAGTCAGTTGATCCCAAAATCTGACTGAACAGACCCATTGTAAATTCCTCCCGGCTCAGTTCTCTGCCACGTTATAAGATTTTACCGCAACCTCCACCTTTTCTCCATGTGCTTGCATTTCAATACTTCAAATAAGAAACCGCTAATGTGTTAAAGATGTCTCTCTAGACAGAATGTTAAGCCTTAGCAGTCTCCAGAGAGTACTCACCTTGAGTTTTTTGTTGAGTTTACAGCAGTATCTGTAGAGCAATGCAAGGTTCAGGGGCCCAAAATCTGCATAGAAACTAAAAGAAAAAGGAAAAAATCAATACAGTTTGCGAGACACGAATGACATTTATCTGCAATAAAGAAGATCGGTATATAAAACTAGACTGCAATCACTTTATGGGATCATCTACATGGGTGTTTTCTTGGGTTATGTTTTACAAGGCATTATAAAGGCTATGTGTGAACAGAAGAGCCAGGACAGACTGTTAATCACTCCTTTTATATGATGCTGAACAACCAGCGAGCATATTCCAACACAGACATCTTTATCAATCATATTACACCTATTTATGCCACATACCCAACATATTGCCCCGTCTACGGCCAACACTGCATCCTATGCCTAATAGACCAACCTGTTTCTGCCTTACATTACATCCGTAGCATTATATTATCTTGTTACCACCAATAACTCAGCCTATGTACAGCCTGCCTATGTAAAGCCTGTCAATGCCTCCATCATTAAACCAGCATATTGCATTCGGCTGCCTCTATCAATATGATACACTTTCAGGTGCCCTACACTGTATAGAACGCAACGCTTTGATCAGCTGGTTTAAATGAGGAACAATGTGATTGAACGTATACAATAATCTGAGTATTCAGACTTAAAACTGAACTCCAGCCTTACCTACGTTCTTGCACGGTTGTACAGGCTCCTCTCCAGTGCTCCAAATGCTTATTCTGTTTTCACTACACACCGAGTTTCCCACAGTGTGCATTAGAAGCTACATAAAGTCAGACAGAGTTTTCTTATTTTCCAGCTGGAGGATATCCAGCATCATCTAGATATTTACTCCTCCCAGCCTTTCTGCCCCTGGCCCACCACTTTAATTCATTGAGTTTCAGTTTTTCCAATCATGGAGACTCAGCATAGGGCAGTCTGCAAGCAAATACAGCCTGCCCAGGAATGCCCACTCCTCCAAACTGACGTCCACAAATCAAGGTATTTTAATGTTTGAATACCTCCCACAAGTTAGCCTGCTTGAATACTGAGGCAGGGTGCAGTGATATTTTCAGTAAGCTATGCACAGTCCCTTGCTGGCCCTTTCCACCATTCATGATCTGCCTGCACTGCTTAGAGAAGCACAGTGATGATGTCACTAGGTCTAAAATAAAGTATTAGAAGCATGCATAACCATTTACCACTTTATTTATCTTTAATTATTTTATTTGAATCTGGCTATTAAGCATGCTAGTCAGGAGTCAGATGTCACCTGAAGTCTGACCGTTGCTACCCTGCCAATTACTCAAGCTTACACACTCTCCTAGCTGTGTGTAACAGTAGCAAATAACAAACCAGTGTAGAGGTTTACATTCCTGAGAGATAAAGAACACCTTTAAATGCACCATGTTTATTCTACCCAGATCCAAAAATGGAGCCCCAATAAAAAAAAACCCTACTCCCCCCTAACTTCAAACATTAAGCACTCAGCGACTGAGCAGCTAATTGCAAGTTGCAAGTATTGTTACCCGGCTGAGGGGGGATCTTAATCCTTTTATGCAAGAAGAGGGGAAGAAAAATCCAAATGATTTTCCCAACTATTTCCCCTTAACTATTAACAAAAATTTAGCATATTTGTGTATCCTCAGGCTCTGAGCGGTGGCTACACTACAACACACACAGGGACCATGGGGAACAAAAGTAGCCACCCTCCAGAAGGAAGGACAATGTATTTACCAATACAGAGATAAATTGAGGATCTACTAGGGCTGCAACAACTAATCGACATAATCGATTATAATCGATTATTGAAAAAGTTGTCAACTTTTTCAATAATCGATTAATCGGCTTCCAATCAGTTGGCCCTGTTCACGGCTCCACACACGCTGCGCGCCGCACCTCCTCCCCAACTCACGCTTACCGCTGCCAGACCCGCCCCCGCCCGCTTCCACGCTCTACACGCCACACCTCCTTCCCGCCTCACACTCATCGCCCACGATCGGCACAAGGACGTGGGGAGATGTAGTAAGGAGGAGCAGGTGTTGGGGGATGACAGCGGCAGATAGACAGGCCCGATCTCAGAAACAAGTTGCTGGAAGACTGCTCAGGTAAGCCTGCACTTTCCCACACATGGTGCTCTATAATGTATTGCTGGGATTTGTATTCCTCTATAGCTGATAGTACATTGTGCTGTATGTTCATAGGAATACAAATCCCAACAATACATTATACACTGTATGTATAATGTACTATTGTTGGGATTTGTTGTACTCCTCTATAGCTGGTGGTATTCTGCACTGCGCTGTATAGAGGACTACAAATCCCAGCAATAATACATTATGCAGCACCATGCGGAATTCCACCAGCTATAGAGGAGCACTACAAATCCCAGCAATAATACATTATACAGTGGTGCAATGCCCAATACCACTAGCTATAGAGGAATACAAAACCCAGCAATAGTACATTATATAGCGCAATGCAGAATACCACCAGCTATAAGGATTTGTTGTGCTCCTCTATAGCTGGTGATATTCTGCATTGTGCTGTATATTGTACTATTGCTGGGTTTTGTAGTCCTCTATAGCCGGTGCCATTCTGCATTCATTGCTGCATAATTTTTCACTTTTCATTTCACTATATTGCACACCACACTTTTTTTTATTTTTTTTTACTTCCACCGCTCCAAGCTTTCTCCTGTGATGGACTACAATCTCAATACAAACTAGTAGTGCCATCACTGGAGCCATTTTTTAAAATGTATTTTATTGTTTATCCGATTAACCGATTAATCGAACTTAATAATCGGCTAACTAATCGATTTTGAAAATAATCGTTAGCTGCAGCTCTAGGATCTACAACCGAGTGATGTACAAATAAGTTACATTTTTGTTAATAGTTAATATACTTGAATGCATTTCTAGGGTTTAACTACTCAAGTTTAGTGTCACCCTAAGGCCCCGTTCACGCAAGGGTGTTTCGGTCGCACAGATTTTTCCGCACTGAAACGCCTACATGAAGAATCCCATACATTCCCATGGGGACCGTTCATGATAGCGCACGGATCTGCGTGATCTGAAATGCCTGTCGCTCAAAATGCTCCGAGCTACTTTTGTCGCACTGATCAGCGAGTTTTCCATATAGCTTTCACTGGAAACAATCTGATCAGCGCGTTTTACATATAGATTTAACTGGAAACGCGCTGATCAGCGCATTTTTGGGCGTTTTAATTGTGTTTCAGCGCTGAAACGCGATTAAAAATGCCCCTTTCCAAAATCGTGCGGAAATCATTCAGGTCTAGCTATATGCGTATCATATTTGTCTAAACCTTGTTGTCCATCTTTGGGCTAAGTCAAGTGTATGCCCAGCTTGAAGAGACCCTGTCACTTAATTAAATGCTATCAAGCAAGCACGTATCATAAGGAACTTACCTCTCCTGACACTAAACACTGCTCTGATCCTGAAAAATTATCCCCGAGGTCCACGGAGAAATCGACACTTCCAGAAGTATCGAACTTCATGGTCCCCCGCACTTCCTCCTGCTGACTTTCACATTACTACGGGAATCAGTGTTGATGTGCAACTATATGTGTATCATATTTGGTCAAACCTGGCTGTCCAACTTGGGGCTAAGTCAAGTGTATGCCCAGCTTGAAGAGACCTTGTCACGTAATTAAATACTCTCACTTCACTACGGGAAGCAGTCTTGATGTGCAGGTTGGCAGGAGGAAACCACTGTGAAGACCATGGAGATTGCCACTCCTGGAACTGTTAGATTCAGAGAACAAGTTTTGGGATGGAAGCATTGCTCAGCGGGAAAAGTAAGTACTCTGTTTCTACTGTACAGGTTTGTGCTTGCTTGAGAGTTTTTAATCATTTGACAGGGACACTTTAAAATACATATTGCTTAATAACATAAGAACTTTCTTCCACCAAAATAAGATTCATGAAAGCTGTTTTACAGTATCTTCTCTATATTCTGACACATGCATCCTCCAAATGTTTCGCTGTTGTTAAACCTACAGAGGATGTCGTCTAATTAACAGCAAAATGGATTGCTAAATTCTCAGGCACTGCATAATGTGATATGCATTACTTAGCAGAATGGAACAGTATGACACAGTGGAGAGGACCTTACAGGAAACTGTGATAAAATAGATCATTGAAAGAGGAGCTGTGAAACAAATGGGAGGGAAAGCTGAAATTGAGCTTGTGGAAATGGACAAGAGGAAGTATAACAGGATCGGAGGTATAGAGGCTTGCTGATCTATTGTGTGGTTTTGGAAGTTCTCTTTTGTTCGAATGTTTACTGCCTCGCAGTGCATTCCCCAAGGCCCCTCAAGCAGACCTGTGGTCACTGTGTTACAATCACAGCCTCTAGAAAGAAGAGCCGCAGCCTTGACACATGGTAAACCTTAGCAGCAGACTTAAATGCAACTGTACTTAGGCACCCAACTGTTTGACCTGAATAAGCAGAGCATATTGTTGGAGAAGATCCAAGGACCTCATATCCTAAAGAGGAGTGTCTCTAAGAGGATGATATTACTTCCATTAATAAATCAGTCTTATTGATGAATTGAGGAAATAAGATAATGTCACAAAGTTAAATTTGTGTTAAAGGGCCAGTCTAACCAAAAATTATATTTTAGATTTAGGTGGAATCTAATGGACTCAGTAAGCCCTGTAATTTGTATGTCTTGGTTACTCCAGTAGTAAGATCCTCTTCGCCTGGGGGTTTTGAGTATTTCTGCCCACCTTTGGGTGCTCAACTGACCCTTGCAGCTCCTTCAAAAATATAAAATAAATAAATCCAAAAGAGGATGAAAGATCTCCTAATATTGTCCACAGTAGCTCTGCAGAACTGCAAACTCAAATAGAGATCTCAACAATACAGCCTCTAATACAGCAGTGGCCAACTTATTTGATAAAGGGGTCTCAAGTGCCCCTGACATCACCAAAGGGCTGCACATAATGTACAGTATATGTAACAGTACAAAAAACGGTCAGGGACAGGACATACTATAGTAGATGATTGGAAACTGCAGGAATGCAACAGGAGATTGGCTTTAGTCA